GGTTATTTGATACGCCAAGTGCGTAACCACTTCGAGTAATCGCGACGGCGCACCCCGTGGAACAAGTGTCGCCCTACGAAAAGGTCGAGTACGCACATCGTGTGGGCTTAGGACAAATTTGGGATCGAGCCGGCTATTAGAATAAGGTGTGGACCCCACTTTTCATGGTTATACATAGATATGAATAAAAAGAAAAACATATCTATAAATAACTGAACTGTACCGGTACCTGAACAATACCTGAGCTGATATGGGGCAAGGTGAAAGGACTAGGGCCGTATTCAATCTTCCCCCAAGGGTTGGGGACGAAAGTTCAAATTTATTTGTTTTTAACGATATAGTTTCTTCATTTTCAGTGCATGTTTACTTTGACCTACATACATACATTAAATGTAGGCCCTTTATCAGGACAATCCCAGTTGGGAAGACAGAGAAAATTTAAAGGGATTTTCGTCCCCCAACCCCTTGGGGGAGGATTGAATCCGGCCCTGGTGGTGTAATGGTAGCCTAGTCGTCCAATAAACAAGTGATGCTGGTTCGAATTCCGTCTGGAGTAAAGAATTTTGCCCATTCCATCTCGCTCCCCCTTACTCAACATTTTCATGATAGCCTTTTTCCTCTTTTTTATCACTGCTTTCGAAAAAAAGCGATGGGAATGCATTGAACCAATGCTTTGTTAAGTTCACTCTGGATTTTCAAAGCGTGACCTATGAAGAATTTGCCATAACCCCAGAGCTTATTTTAGGGTCAACATAGCACTGAACCGTTGATTTGCCGTTGGACGGTTGTCCTCCAGAACGAAAGCCGACCATGATTAAGTGACAATTTCCTGAAATACTTAGCCTTATTGGCATACGCTTTGTTTGTTCGTCAGGCAGATCGGATTTTTTTCTGGGTGTCATTAGTTACGTGCAAAAAAGTGAGCAGAAAAACCTCTACGATGGTTGGATCAGAATCGGGTAAAAATAACAAGCTCAAGACTGGTATTGTCCTTTGATAATCCAACCGGAAAAGCCAACTTTTTCTCGATTTTTTCATGGAATTAACACTATCATTCAAAATGCTGAATTGATTTTGATGTTGACTGGATAATGAGGTAATCTACATGAATGGACCATCTTAGGTTTCCTTAGTTGTTTTTATTGCTTCATGCAGCTCATCTGGCGTCAACCCACGAGCCACATCAGCCCTGAAGTTAGTGACTTATGGAGGATAAAAGAGAAGAGAGAAGAAAAAGAAAAAAGAATTCAGAAAAAAGCGAAGAGAAGCTCGAAATCAGATCATGTTGCTTTGCAGAACCTGGGCTTTTTCCCAGATGTCGGGCTTTAAAGGTAGTGATCACGACGCTGGAAGGCATAGCGGTTATGATAATGTCGTTGGCCGTCATTTGTGAGAACGTACTGAGGGGTCTTGTTGGGGTCACCTCGCGACGCTCCCCCACCAACGATGCCCAATGGCCAACAAAAGCGTCCTACTCCACAGCTATTGCATTCACTGCCCCAAGCCATTTTTCGCCAGAATGATCTCACGAAAAGGAATTTCGCCTGATATGCATCAAGACAGGTCCCAGAAGCAGGCTAATTTCAACTTTTTTGAAATTATTTTGTGAATAAAATTGAATTTGTAGCCATCTATTTGCGAAGCCGTTGGAAACGACTAGTGTGTTCTTAAGAAACGCAGAGCCTTCGGAGCTAAGGGCCTCAGAACCTATTCATGATTTCGTTCGAGAGGTTACTGCTCCCAGCGGCACCTGTGAGTGTTTCAAAGCGGTTGTTGTGGTCGACAGCGAAGAGTGTAAAGTCGTGTCAGAACACATGTCATCGAGTACGCCTGTTTCGCTTAAATTATGGTGATAGCTGAGGAATTTATGAAGAACAGGTTGATGGGGGAGGGAATGCGCCCTGCAACACTGCAAACGAGCCCTCGTTTATCACCGATTCCGATCGATTACAAGTAGTAGAGGGATTTGATAGTACGGAAGGGAACATATGGATAGAGGATTCACA